ACCCTAATAAAAAGTGGATGTTTAGTTAGTTGCATTTGCACGTTGTAATGGAGGATTCAATTGGACGTCAATTTCCACGCACCAACAAACAGCAACAATGTCACCATCTTCTTCTTCTCCACTCTCCATCTCTTTGTTTGGCCATAAAAATTGAATCAAACGATCTTTGCATAGGTCAAATGTTGAATAAACAACCATAATGTTTAATGCACCTAACCTTTTCAAGGTTCACACCTACTTTTTTTTTCTTAGAACCCTTTCACGTGCTTTAAAAACTTTTATCTACATCTGCTTTATTATAACATTATATAATTTTCAGTTGTGAATTTCATTCCTTAAAGTTTCCGAGTCTTTCTAAAAATATGTTATGCTAAAATTAAATTCATATATTCACTTTGCTTTCTCAAGATATATAGTGAAGTTAGTCATGTTTATTAGAAAATTTTCACCCGGTTATTCTTTATACGTATACTTTTTAAAAATTCACTCGATTGTTTATAAAAAGAACGTAAGAACTTAAAAAATAGAGAATTAAAGTCGATAAACTTATTAAAATAATGAGACCGAATATTTTATAATAAAATTTTCTAAACTCGTTTCATTATTTAAAAATATTTTATCTCTCTAAAACTCTTATTCTTTGTTTTCTTTCACTTCTCTCTAAGTGTTATTGATCTTACGTTATCTATTTGACGATCAAGAGGTGCTTAGACGACCACGACATCAAGGTCTACCTTTCTAACCAATCAGTTTGTTGTTTAGAGAAAGTATGTTTTCATTTCCTTTTCTTGGTATTTCTTGACTCTCGATCATGCAAAGGAAATTTGTTTTGCATGTGTTAAGAGTTCCTCTTCTTTGATTCCTAGTTTAATTTATGTTCTAAGGTTTGTCTCTAATCGCCAATCGATAATTTGTAAGTTTTTCTAGAGGTTCCTTGAGGTGGAAGCAATTGTCAGGGTTTCCTAGAACGGTGGAATTTTATAGAGGTAAGGGAAGCTAGATTTTCATTAATTAATGTTCTATATGAGTAAAAAATTGTTTAGGGTGAAAATTCTGTGATGTGTTAGTTATAACCAAGTTAATTGAGTATTTTATGTATGTGATGATGAAATGTTGCTATGAATTGTATTGTATGTTGATTTGAAGTGGAATTGAATGTTGATATGTTAAATTGTTTGCACAGCATGTGTATTATGAAGTCTAGTGATTAAAGAGTTGAAAGCGTAGAAGTGTTAATGGTGTTTTGAAGAAAAGATGAGATCTTAAGTAGTGAAATTGTGAGAAATGGGTGGTGAACTGGTTTGATGAAATTGGGAGTGATTATGAGCTGTCTCATAACTTGTTCAAACATTTAAAATGGGAGGAATCTGAGTTATGAGTATGTGGTGGTGATTAGGTAGAGTTTGTTTTGGTTTAAAACTAAATTCACTACAAGAATTTGGCTGATTACCGAAGGTTTATTATCGAAGGCCTAGGGACCGTCGGTAAAGAAGTGTTTTCGACGGTCAAAATCAACATTACCGAGGGACATTGTGAAATGTAAGTACCAAAGGGCAGAAGAGCATTACCGAGGGGTTTGTGGCCTTCGGTAAGAGGCTGGACCCCTTAAACTGAACAATTGGGGGTATTGTCATAGGTCGTTCCTAATTTCGTAAGACAACACCCTATTCCCTCTCTGTTCTCATCTCCAATTTCGTAAAAGGTCGACTTTGCGTTGTGCTCCCCCATTCCCTCCTTATCCGTTCTCGTCCCCAATTTGTGCTTCCCATTCTCTCCCTCTCGGTTTTGTTTTACATTTGTCTTCCTCTCCCTCTCCCTTTCCTGTCTATCCGGTGGCATTGTGTGGGTAGGGTTCAGTGGTGTTCCAGCAGTGCGTTGGCATTGCCGTCAGGAGGGTGGTCTGTTAACATCACGGTGTGTGCCAAGGCGTAGAGAGGAGGGTGCTCCCGTGACGTAAGGGCGCTTGTCGTTGTCAAGGGAGGCTATTGGGAGACGCATTGAGGTATGTTCTTTACTGGCTTTTGGATTAATAAACTGGGACAAGTTTTCCTTAATATTATTGGAAAGTCGAAATAAAATGAAAAGCAAGTTAGTTTGAATTGGTTTAGTGAAATGGGAATAGGAATAACAAGAAAGAAAGATGCAGACTAGTTGGTAGAAGAGTGGTTCGTGTTGATTTGAGGAAGGAACAGATGCAGTATAGTTAGGCATTGAAGCATGTTTAGATGGCTGAGTTAACATAGTAGAGATGAGAAGCAACGCGCAGAGGAAGCAAAAGAAGAAAGTGGTTTTGGTATTCATGTTTACTACTAGGTTAACAGTTAGGGTGAGATACAAAGAAGTAGTTTCTCAATATATAGTTATTTATAGTGATGAAGCCAAAAGTATAGGAGAGTGCTGAAAGTAAATGATAGGTCTTGGTTCAAGACAGAGAAGAAAATGGAGTAAATGATAGGTTCCAAGGGAAGAAAATCCCTTCTACAGAGGATAATCCCTGTTCTGAAACAAAATACACTCCACCCACAGAACTACAACACCCCCCTCATTAAAAGACAAAAAACTACGTTACTACCAATTAAAACTTCCCCTAACTGATGTTTAAACTCCTCCTAACTACCCCTAACCACTTCATACTAACTTCTATTTTTTATTTTTTCCAAACTATATAACAATTGTCTACAAACTGTCAAATACATTACATATGTTAACAGAAATGCCCTAAAATGGATTAAGAAAGCAAGATAATTCAGCAAAGTGGAGTATAATCACGAAATTGAATTTTCAACATTGAAATTTTAAAAGTGTTTGATAAAAGTCTTGACTGAAATTTGTAGATTGGAAGTAGAGTTCTGCTTTTGAAATTTGAAGATGGAGCTTTGGATTGATTACTAAAAAACTAACAGCCTTTTACACATATATTTTCATTCTTTCAAGCTTGTTGTACATTATTTTTGTTGATTCTATGGTCTTACTCAATCCAACCAAGTCTTCTTGCAATGTGAAATTAAAATCAGACTTGACAACTTCCACTTGTACCAAAAATGAACTCATAATGGGATTTTGAGATGTGAAAATGCACACAAGTTGCTCTAAGGTCAATTAATCAATTCCAGCAACTTTATATTATGAAATTAGAATTGTTTAAGTTGGAAATTGGTACATAAACAACATAGATCATAATATGACCTCCTAACAACCCATTATGCAGGAAAATAAGCAACCTCACACCCCAAACAAAGTTTTAGTGAAACAAAGCACTAAACAACAATGCAAACAACTTTGAAATATATATTGACACTGAACCAAGCCTAGAGGATATAAAGTACCTAAAATTAAATTGGAATAAATTGAATAAATTGATTGCCTTGTTCTTCCCTAATTAATAATAATAACAAGAGGGAGAGTAGTTAGAGGGTATGTATAGAATCAGAGAAAAGAAAACTAGTAACCAAATAAAAATAAATAAATTTGTTATCTTATTTAATAACCACCCATAGGATGATAGAAACCAAATTCCTCCTCAGCATGACTAAGCAATTATTAAAATAAAGGCACTCATTCAAACCGTGTGAAGTGAATAGGAAGTCCTTGTGAGTATGTTTTTCACTGTCAGCTCTTTCAAAGCTTCACAAATAACATTTATTGTTCACTAGGACATTATTCTATGGTTGGATCAATTATTATACCCTTTGTCCATTTTGACTTCAATATGTTCAGGTAAAGACGTGTTAAAAATTTTAACGTAAGTTTTATTCCCTGGTAGCTGTCCAGTTATTTGCACTTAAGCACCTAAATATCTGCTATTAGTTTCTGCCAGCTTTGTTAGAAGACTTGTTCTGCAGTTAAAACGGTTTTCTAACACTGTATATGCAACACATTGTAACTTAATAAGGTTTTGTGCTTCTGAAAGAGAAAAGCATGTAAGAAACATATGTTCTTGAATTTTTCATTCTAATAAACAATTTTTGCAACAATTTCCTAAGAAGAGAATGAAACAAATTCTTTACAAGTCTTAAAAGAAGCCTGCTGTACACAATCTCACTAATCTGTGTCAGTCCTCTCTATACTTTGAGCTTTAGAGCCCATTCAAGCTAGATATAACATGCAAAAAAACATCTTCTGTGCAAGGAATTGTAAGACCACCCATCGGATTATTGTATCCAAATTCTTCCTCTGCTTGACTCAGCAAGTCTTGAAATGAAGGTTGGTTCAAGTATGACATGGGGATCACAAACCGTTTCATTCTCTCTCCTACATACACTGCAAAATACCCCTTTGCCATGTTTACAGCTTTTGAAGATGATTGGCTACCAGTAAATGAAGCCCTTCTAATTGCAGGGAAACGGAAACCCATTTCAAATGTCTCAAAGAGCAAGCTAAAATTCACAAATACTACAAGAATGTAGCTAAGTTTTGCGGTGAGTTTGCAAATGAGTTGAGTTGGTTGTGAAGAAAGACAATATATTTATACATTTTAGGTTTTCTTCAAATTTGTGTCCTGGAGAAATGATAAAAAGATGGGGTCCATGAGATGAGAGATCAAATGGTGATGTCTCACATGCCTCTATGAATTATGAACAAGTTCATTAAGAGTGAAAACCACAACTTCAGAATCAATGGCTTATACAGGACTCCAACCAACGTTAAATAAAATATGTTTAGGTCTAACGTTTGTTCAATTTTACTGTCTTTGTAGACATGCAGCAGACATGTCACGTGTTTTCTTCATACTGACAATGCAACTCAATTCTAAGATATAGATTGCTGATAAAACCTCTCTTGGTGACGCGTTCTACGGTAGTTGATAAGAATGGATCATAATTATTAGGATCCAGCATGGAATCTTTATCCAGAGCTCAATCACTGTTTGTTTGACATGCAAATTTTATGTACATAAAATCAAAGCAGAATGGTACATGATTGGAACCACAAGGCTTAAATATACACTACTGTCCTTAATAAAACTAGTCTTTTCATGAAAGTCTGGCAACAACTGTACTTTAATTTTCTATTAATTTTAATCTCAATAATATGTAATAACTTGTACTGATAATGGTTGTTTCATTTGTTTTTGCATGAAAGAATTGATTAGCTAATAGCAATTTAATTCATGAACGACTATGAAAGACCCGATGGTTTTTCCTAACACAGCTAACTTCAATTTTGAGGTCCAGATGAAGAAATGACAGTCAATTTCTGCAGTGTATCATATTTATAAGATAATCATACGGTTGATGAACGGGCTAATCTGAATGAGCACTTGATTTCATCCTATGGAAATATACTTTATTATTGTGATCAACATAAACTACTATATCACTTGTTTGCCCAGAAGCATCACTATGATGTTATTGATTGAGGCTGAATTTTAGGTGCAGATAGAATGAGAAGAACCACAAATTTAAGAGGATATTTTTTTTATGGTGCAGAGTAAACAACGGACGAAAGATGATAGAAAAGTCTACCCAGTGGCTAAGGCTGTCTCAGATAAATTAGGGTTCTCAGTTTTGCTCGTGGACAATATGACACTGCCAATATAACCACTATATTAGGTCAGGTATTGTCAGTATCTTTATGCTCTCAAATTATAAGCAAGTTTATACGCGTATAAGATTTAAATTGAATATACAATATAAAAGTACTTAAAATATTTAAATTGAATGAGATCTAACAGAAGCAAAAATATGATAACCATCTCTTTTCATTACTTTCTGGTTAAAATCTTTCCACTCTTAGTGGAAGAGGTAAAGAAAACAAAAATGAAAAATCCTCCTGTACAATTTTTCTCTCATCTACTCTAGTAAGTCTCCTTTAGCATGAACTATAGCCCATTGAAGCTAGAAGTGACATTCAGGAACACATCCTCCGTACAAGGAATTGTGAGACCACCCGTTGGATGAGAATATCCAAATTCTTCTTCTGATTGACTCAGTAGATCCTGAAAAGTAGGCTGGTTCAAGAATGATATAGGAATCACAAACCGCCTTTTGTTATCTCCAACATAGACTGCAAAAAAACCTTTTGGGATTTCAGCTCCCTTGGATGCTCGTTTAATACCAGGTAAACGGAAACCCATGATGTCTTTTTGATTCAAACTCCGAAGTAAGAACGATGATAGAAAACTTGTAGAGAAAAGTATATCGTAATTCTTGGGAGAGAAATTGGGTTGTGTTGTTGTGATGAAGTGGTTAGTATATATATATATAGATGAAGTAAGGTTTGGTGGGTACTATTTGTTGTTATAATGAAGGTGTGGATGGGCCATTTGATGTGTTAAGGTGGGATACAAAGAAACAAGGGTTCAAAAGAGATCACATGGTATTGTCTTAGAGGCCTTAGTCAAGGATGGTGATTGCTTGTCAGATTGATCAATTCAACTGGGTCCAATATTCTTAAGGTTGTGCTGACATGAGGACCACTTCAAGATGAACATGTTGGAGAACCTATCACTTCTGTAATATATCGTATTTTCTGCATTTTAACTGTTTCGATCATGCCTCCAAAAGAGTGTCTATCAAGTCGCATTATATCAGATGTCAAAAGAAATAAATTCAATTTAAGTGTTGTACATGGAAACAAGATGATTATACGAAAATGTTGGTGTCAAAATGAAAGAAAATTAAGAGAATGTTTCAAAATTTAAATCACAATATATAGAATTATTTTACAACAGTTAAAAAAAGAAAATTTTAAGTTTAATTTAATTTTATAAAATCGAAGTTTACACTCACTCATATCTTAAATTAAACTTATCTTCAATCAATATAAAAACTTCATTTTAAAATAATTCTTTTATAATAAATAATTATTTGTATTAAAACAGCTCTACATAAGCCCCAATATGAAGAAATTAAGCCCCAATATGAAGAAAATAAGCCCCAATAATTACCTCACATTTATTAGAGTTGAGTCTCTCACTGAACTTGTGAGAATCAAATTTTCCAAGAATTTGTTCAGAACTGAGATGCCATACATATTCCAAGTGTACAAAATATTTCTATCCATACATATTACAAGTGTACAGAATATTCTATGCCTTCTGGGGCATACTTTTGAAATATGTGGAGTAATAAATATTTTAAAAATACTTTATTAATAATGTAAATATAATCTAAGTATTTTTTAATTTAATACACTAATATATATATATATATATATATATATATATATATATGAAAAAGCGTGTCTACACTTGGATTTTAAACTAGTTCCTGATATAAACAATTTATTAAATCTTTTATTCAGAGCTAGCATAAGTATGTAAGCATTTTTTAAATATCTATAAATAATAAATTTTCAAAATTAGTAATTAAAAGAATAAAATTATATAAACAAAAAAGTATATATAGTTACAGATAAAATAAATTTTAGTTATTAAAATAAAAAATATTTTAAGTAATATTGTGTAAAAAATACTGTAAAAAANAAATTTTTTTTTCTCTCACTTCTATGGTTTGATTTCGTGTTTGCTGTGGATGTTTGATTCCATTCACTGTTTCTTAGTTTTTAATCATCATTTTAATCGGTGCAATTTGGTTGATTGAGTTCAATTCAGCTTTGATATTTCATTTCCAGTTTTGTCAAGTCATGTGCATTTTCTTTTGCAGTTTTTAATCTGTCATATGTGTTTCAATCTGTTCTAGTAGTGAATTTTCGTTTGTAATTGAGTCTTGTGCATGTGCTAGCTATATGTTGATCATATAAAGCATTAACATCAAGTTCAGCTTTGATCATTTGAGCTAACAGCTGTGCACACTGTGTTCCAATAGCAAAATTCTGCAGAAAATTTTAATTTCTGGTTTCATTTTGTCCAATCTGTTTCTATCCAGATTTCTTGTTGTTTCAAGCCTTGTGCACATTTGTCTACTGTTTTTGAAAGTATCTAAAGATATTGCAACTCATATGCATCAAAGAAAAGCAAAGTGAGTGTTTGAGTTGCTCATAATCTGTTTTTAACTTCAGTAACCGATTGCATTTCTGGTTTAATGTTGTCCACACTGTTTCTGGCCAATTTTTGTGTCTCTGAACCCTGCTGCAAGTTTGTTTGAAGTGTCTAAACATGGTTCAAGTTGTTTCAATTCAGATTAACCACTGATTTGTGAAAGTCATATGTGAGTTGATTCAAATTTCAATAAAACAGTGCTGTCAAAGTTTTCCAAAGTTAGTCCAGATTTGCTATGTCTAAAGCTTTGCACCGTGCTTGAATCTTTGCCATGTTTTAGGCTTTTACTATTTCCTAGCTTAATTTTTGCAGCTAGATCTAGATTTAGGACATTCATAATCACTTGTTTGATCAATCCAGCTTTGCTTCCAGTATTTTCCAAACTGCTGCAGTTTTCATTAATTTTCAACATAATTTGGCAACTTTTAAGAGTGATATTGAGACTCTGTGTGCTTCTGTGGTGTTTGAATGTTTGTGCACATACAATTGACCATTTCAAACTTGTTCTTACTGTTCAATTGGTCAATTTTCAGTCCATATGCAAAATCATCATTCCAAGCATCACATTTTGTTGAAATTGGAAGTGAACTACTCAATTTCTGCTGCTGCATATATCCTTGTTGTTTGACAGTTTAAACACCTTCAAATAATGCATACAAAGTTGCTCCAATCATCAAATTAGGTGTCTAACCATAGCTGTGAAAAATTGCCTCTCAAGTCGTCCATTTTAAAGTGTTGTTTTTGGCCAGATTTTAGTTTCTGCACATAGTTTGAATCTGTTTTGGTCCATTTGCCTTTGATATTTGGATTATAGCAAAAGCTTGGTACCACTACTGTTAAATAATACATCAAACTATCATTAACCAAGTTTAGAAAAAGCATTTGGACCTGTACAATCCAGTTTCGAAAAATCTGCTGCACCAACATCAGGATTTTGGCCAAAAACTGGTTTTTCTTTGAGGCATTCTGTCAAACACTTTTGCCAAATTTTTGAAATCATTGAGTTTGATGTCTTTGCAGCATGTTTTGATTTTCTTGGTTTCTTAATCCTTTTTAGAGCATCTATTAAGTTCATTTTGTGTGCCAGCCTTCCTTGCCAGCCTTTAATTGCTTGTTTTACATTGTTTGGAAATTTTGCACCTCACCTGTTTGATAAAATGCCAAGGTGAAGTCTGGTTTAGACAACAAAATTTAGTGCAAGTCTGTTTATGTTGTTGGCCCTCCGGAAATTACCGAAGGCTTCTGGCCCTCGGTAATTACCGAAGGCTTCTGGCCCTCGGTAATTACCGAAGGCTTCTGGCCCTCGGTAATTACCGAAGGGCAGAAGCCTTCGGTAATTGTTAGCGACAAGGGATTTACCGAGGGCTCATTGGCCGTCGATAAGCCGTCTGTAAATACCCTTTTCCGACGGCTTCTGGCATTTTCCGAGGGCTTTTGGCCTTCGGTAATTCCCTTCTTTTTTGTAGTGATTCTTAGGGTTTGAACTAGTGAAAACTTGAGTTGGGGTTCTATGCTCAAATGGTCATTTTGGAGAGTCTTGGTAAGACATAAGGGACTTCTTGGAGTCTCTAAGTTGGTTGAAATTGTGCCATAAATGATGGAATTCAATTTGAGTCTCTCAAGTGAAAATAAGTAGATTTTTTAGTGTAATCTCATTAGTATTCACTTTGAAATGAAAACCTCATTTCAAAGATAGGAGGCTTGAAGCACATGGACTAGAGGATAAGACCAATTTAAAGTATATATGTGGATGTAAACCTCACCTTACAAACCGATTTTGTGGGGTTGAGTTAAATTTAAAGTTCACTTCTTAACATAGTATCAGAGTAATGGATTAAAGCCTATCCTAGCGAGATTTGTGTTTATTGGACATATCATTCCACCCATTATCGAACCATCCATTAGGCTTTGTTCACTTGAATGGATTTGGGGGAGAGTGATTGAGGGGATTTGAAGGTAAATTTTGTTGTTGTTTATTTGAGTGGATTTGGAAGTAAATTTTTTTAATCTATCACATCCATCAAATCCTATACTAATTCACACAAACTTTACTTCCAAATTCATTCTCATTTACCTCCAAATCCACTCAAATAAACAACAAAAAAATTTACCTTCAAATCCCCTCAATCACTCTCTCCCAAATCCATTCAAGTGAACAAAGCCTTAATGTATATTCTCACACACGAGATGTATGTACCTTGACATGAGAGGTTGTTGTTTGAAAGTCTTACAATTACATCTAGAGATAAGACCAATTTAGCTATATAATATATATATATATATTAGTATATATATATATATATATATATGGGTGCAAACTCCACCTTTAATTTTGTGGGGGTTTAAGCTTAAAGTTTACTTATCAACAAAAAAAACAATAATTTCACTCATAAGATAATATAAATTATTGCATTATCTTCTTCAAATCTATAAATTATACATCTAAAGCTTGTAATATATGAATATAAGTTCTTCTACAAGTTTTTTTAGTCAAAAATATGTATAGGGGCAATATTTCGATGCAAACTTCTTAACTATAATGTCACTTAAGATAAAATTTTCAAAGATAAAATTAACAAAATTGATGTACAATTATCAATGTTAATAAATGAGTGATAATTTTATCTATTCTGTAGTTTGATGTTCAAACATATCTTGACTACAATGATAATATTTTATTTTCTAACTGAATACATATCGGTATACTAAGTCAATATGTATCTAATCCATATTTGCTTGAACCAAATTGAATTATGTCAGGGTAATTGACAATTAAATTATTCAAATTCATCCATGTAAAATTTAATAAATAATAATATAAATAACAAAAAATTTATTTATTGTATAACATAAATAGAATGACTACTTAAAAAACTATCGAAAAAGGTTGTTGAGTTCTTCTAAAAATATTCTTAATCCTATAAGAACAATTATAGATAATCAAAGTTGATGTTATTATTTTGTGGTTTCACTTTTAGAAATGTCAAAGTAATAATTTGTGTTTTGTCTTATAAGTGGACAATATCACAACTTTTAATAAATAATTTTGTTCATGATGAAGATAACGTACTAATAATTTGAAAAATATCTTAAAAAGTTAATTTCGAACAACTAAAATGTTTTTTTATTACAAGTATTTCATATTTAGCATTCAAAATATCACAGTTTTCTTTAATTATTGCTCTAATGTCTTATCATATTTATTTTTTTTATTGTAATGCTCATTGCATAAATAGTTATTTTTAAAAGGTTTCAATAATGTCTCATTTGTCCCAGTTTGGTTGAATTTTGGTCAACATTCATCCTCATTTTAAAAAGTTTCATTGCATCCTCACGTGGTGTAAAGTTGTCATTGTCGTCCTCACTGGTGGTAAAAGTGTCAATTGAATCAAACACTAGAAAAAATTTTGTGTCAAAGTAGTCATTTTTCCTATATATCTGTGTTTCTTTCATCACAAGTCAGATATTCATTTTAACCTTATCCAATTTAAGCTTTTCATTTTAAGTCCAGAGAAGTGACATCGAAAGGAAGACACATGAGATATAGGAAAAATGACTACTTTTACACAAATTTTTTTATGTTTGGATTTCAATTGACACTTTATACCACGTTGAGACGACAATGAAACTTTTACCCCGCACGTGAGGATGACAATGAAACTTTTTTAAAAATGAGGATGATTTGACACAATATCAACCAAACTGGGACAAAGGAGCAATTAAACCTTTTTAAAATACTGTAAATTTCTTATTTGAAACTAATATTTTAAGCATAAGTTGCACATGGGAAAAGGAAAAAATAGGACGACAAAGCTTGAGTCATAACTACAATAAGTAGTACATATCACATACACGTGTCTCTGCATTGTTGTCACGCTGTCAAATGTCGGATTTTGTCCTTTTTTCTCTTTTGAAAACAAAATTAAAAGTGTTTCAATTAAAATATACATGAAAACTACCTTTTAATTTATTAATCAAGTGTAAATCTAAATAAAAAAAGTTTAAATTTACTTTGATAAAAAATGTGACAAATAATTACATGGTATGAACAGCAACGATTTTTTTTTATTCGGGGGGAGGGGGAAGGGGGGGGAAGGGGTTTTTATGTTTAACTTCATCCATTATTTAGTTGGTTGTTTGCTCTCTTCAATTATAATGTAACATAGTATAAATATAAATCAACTAATAAAAGTTGTCTAAATAGATTAAGCGTTTCATCATACTGTTGAGACAAAAATTTTGGGCATCTTCTACCTACATACAAACAACCAATTTATAATACAATGTTAAACCTTAAACGATAATTCGTTGTGGTAGTTTTTGAGTTTTAAAGTTTAAATAATTTAACTATGTACTCGTCACCTAAAAAATTGTCTAAAGTTACAGGATGACATTGAACAAATCTCCGTTATTTATATTATTTTTCTAAATTATATAAATTTTTTTATTTGTTGGGATTAAGAAAAATTAAAGAACATATAATAGAGAGGTTTTCGAATACGTTTTCCAATCTCTAATTTCAATTTTGATACACTCATAAGTAATTTTTAAATGTCACATATTTTTTTCAATTTTTATCCCGATTTTATAAAATTGAATTAGGCTTAAAATCCACTTCTAATATGATATCAGTTATCAGAGTCAGATTAAAATCTTTTACACCTTAATTTGATCTTATCTCTATCCGTGACTTTCTACCATTATTTCAAGAAACGAGTAAGGAAAACTATTTGAAGCAGTGTTCAATTTTTTTATCCTCTTTTCTCTGTTATTTTTGTTTTCTTTAATTATATTATTCTTTTTTATTTTTTCCTATTGTTAGTTTATTTTCTTTTTATTTTTAAAGAAAGAACAATATTTTATTCACTCTCCAACCATCATATCGAATTTTCTAATTGAAACCAAAACTTTAATTCATTTTTAAAAAATATTCAACAAATTGATTATACTCTTCCTCCCTTAAACTTATGTTAGCTTATAGGACAAAGAAAAATACAAGAATGAACTGTATTTTTGTTTAAAAGAAATTACGAATTTTTAGTTTACGTGGAGGATCTTTATTGAAAATTTATGAGACCTTTAAATTCGTGTGTACTCAAATTTATAATATTATTACACTTTTTTTTCCTTTTGTTTATACGAATTAATCTCATGATAATGAGCGATTTCTAGAGAGAGAAATAAGTGTTTATTTCTTTTTTTCATAACTAATGATGATAATAGAAGATAGATAGACATTAGATCCTAAATCACAATGGTCATATGATTTCTCTGTCTTGTGAAAGAAATTAGAATATCTATTCGTTCATTCACTCAATGAAAATAAATAAGTTGAATCCTAAAACAGTGGTATATTTGGTTTATTTATATACTAATTTACGATATTTTGTTTTAAAATTAATAATATAACTAAAAATACTAAAATGTGAGACATCAGTGGAGATTTGAAGTGATTTTAATGATATTAAAAATCTTACATTAATAATATTATCTCTCCACTGAATCAAATATATATTTTTCTATTTACAAATAATGATGAAGGAGGGGATAAGGTTGATATTATTTCAATTTTAAGGAAATATCCATTAAGTGGTGATATAGTTTATAATTTATATTTAATAAAGTTTAAGAATAGAATTTATCATTCTAGTTCATATATTCATTTGACTGTAGTATATTTAATATGTTTAATTTAGATAATATTTACTAATGTTTACTATTTTAGTATAATTTAAGGAAAGTATAATAAATTTATTTTATCTTATAAATATATCATACATATCCAACCATATCTTAGCATATTATATTCTTCTATTTTTAAGATAAAACAAATCCTGGTATCCAATATTCTTGTTGTATCTTTGGCATTATGTTGTGTGCCCCTTTAATTTTTTTTTAATAATTATAAAAAAACATTAAATTAGCTTTTTTTTTCCTAAGTACTCTTTTTTTTTTCAATGAGAGAAGTTGGAGGCCATTGCCTGTGTTAACTATAAATTCATAAATTAGGCACTCCACTTCAACCACATAGGCTTCCCAACACCATTTTTGTTTTTGATTTTAATATCAAATATTAATTTGACATTTCAATGTAAAACAATGCCCATCACATTCACATCTAGTTATATAATAATAAGTGAAAAAAAAAACACTAAAATATAATACATCTCCAATCTCAAATATGAAAACTCTCCTACTTTAAGAATTTTCAAATAAGTAATGTTATTTTTACAATATGTAAATTAACAATTTGTACCTTTTTTTTCTCTTTCTCTTTTTTAATTTATTCATCTTTTTTTTTTTGGTGAAATATTACAAATTTCCTTTTTCTTTTTATATGATTGAAGATTTAAGGGGAGGGCATGTGATGTTTGAGTGATGCTAATTATATAAGGAATTTTTTAAGTTGACGAGTAAACAAAGAAAAGGAATAGTACAAGTTTGAATCCAATCATATGGTTCACTTGGAATGTTAAGACAAGAAAGAATATTATAAGAGAATGATGTGATCATGATGAAATTTCAATACATACTAAAATACCATTCACACTCCACTGACTTTCCATGGCTCACCAAACATATACAAACATGCACAGAACAACTTTATCATTTACTAAGAATATAAAACCATACATGAAACGATTCCTAGTACAGTGAACATTGTTCACCATGTGCCTTGTTCACTCAGATTTTTAGGAAAGTCTTGACTGAACAAAATGATCAATCATTTTCCTTATTTCATCAGGGTTTGCACCCACAATTTTCTCCACAGGAGTTCCTCCATTCAGCAACAGAAAAGTTGGCATGGCTTTGATCTCCATCTTGGAGGCAATTTCCTGAATTGAGGGTCCATGATTAATGCACATAAAGTAGAGCTCAAAAGGGGTTAAGAAAATATGAACAAAATTTCCACTTTCTGCATGAATTTATGATTAGGTTAGGATCCTTTCCTTCAATTTTAAAGAAAAGGAAGAATGGGATGAAGGAGTGGATAGATACTCTAGTTGCAAATTTGTTCACTATGCATCAGACAAAAAAAATTAAAGATTCTCTGAGAAAGGGATGCATTTAATATACTATAATAATGAGTTTCATTGGTGCAAGTTAAAGCAATTTGTGAATATTTTTATTGAAGATTAGATTATAGAGATAAGATTTAGTCATTATTCTATTATTGTTTATATTAAATGAGAATCATGTGAACTGAAAGTGGGTTTGAATCCTGGAATAAACAATTAGGAAGAATTCTTGTGGACCCCTTTACTCTATTCCCTTTGGATAACAATGCAGTTGCAGGCACAGCACAGTAATTAACGGATTGAAATTTGAGATATGTTTTAAAATAAGACCAAACCAAGCATGTATAGTTCTTGCAAACAAATTAAGTGTTGTGTGGGAATCAAATTACCTTAACCTCATCCACATCCAATGTCAGAAACAGAACATCTTGGTAAGTGGAGGCTAGTTCTTCAAAAACAGGATTCATTACTATAGAAGGCACACACCAGAAAGCAGAGAAATGAACCACAACCTGCTAAATTTAATGCACAAAAAAACATAGTTTAAACCCTCAATGATCTTTGAATGATTGAATCTGGTTTTTCTTAGCTGACTTACCATAATGATGAGTAAAAAAGCAAACAGATTTATGCTAAATGAATTCACCAAAACAAAGGAGACTCACAGAGTACTTTTGATTGGTGGCATGAGAGATGTAGTGTTCCCATGATTTTTGAGAGTCTATTTTGATAACCTTGGACTTTTTGAGCTTTTCTGTGTCCTCCATTTCTCTCTGCTTCTGTTGCTTCTTCAGAATGGTTTATACAAATAAAAATGTTCTTAAAATATAAGAACAACACTGCGAAAGAAAATGTTGATTTATCCTTATCTTATAATTAAACGTTTTTGTTCTGTTGAATACGACATTTTTCTGATTGATGTCTATGGGATACAACAAAAATAGTCAAGCTGGGGCCTATGGATTAGCCAATTCTGTGGTCATGATCATGTGCGTATGGTTCATGCATTGAATTAAAATATACCACGAGTCTCATTTTGAATTTCTGAGAAAGAATTGTGATGAATAATGTCGAGAAATTTTCCAGATCAGCTTCTCTTGATGCCTGTGTAGGTTGACACGAATATAAGCAATAAAATCAATGTTGTTATGGCTCAGCATCAGAGCACAGAATAATGGACCATATACAGTATGAGTAATGAATGAAGTGTTCGGTAGCATGTAAAATCATAGTAAAGTAAAACCAGTACAAAAATAATTATAGTTGAATGTAAATCACATGTTTCTAAAGACATTATAAACATAAAAATGTAATTGGAACAAGAAATATTAATGGCCCACATCGCTGAAATACTAAAACTAACAGCTTGTCCTTTTGGTCAAAGCTATAAGGTGTTTCTAACCTTTTATGGTTCGTTTGGAGGTTTAAGGGTAGAAAATAGAAAAGAAAAGCATAAATTTTTGTGGGTTTTCACTATTGCAATTTATGATGTCCTTTTAGCATTGACTATATAAAGAATCTTATCAGTTGTCATTGTTAACCTTATTTGATGAAATACAAGTTGCGTATTTTGTATATGCACCAAATATGTCAACAAAACTTGGGTTTGAAGCTTTTGTGACTCCTTGGACATGAAAATTATTGGGTATCAACCTTATCAAGCATTTGTAGGTGATTAGGTAACTTAACCTATTTTATTAGAGCCAATTATTGAATTATACATAAGTTTATTAATTCCACAATGTGTTTACACCTGCACTAAACATGATTACCATGACATAAATGTATGACAATACCTTTTGAATATTGTAATGAAAAGTTTGATTATTAAAATATTCTATCTAAGGCGTGTCTTTTTTTTTTCTTCTCTCTCTACAATCTCTTTTCTTTCTTTTTCTATGTTTTTTCTTCAACGCTTTATCTTTTTTAGAATCTGATTACGGTAATTGAGGAGTTAAGAAATGTTTTTATATAATTATTTTAAATTTGTATTTATCTTATAAATTCTTTTCCCAATCTTCTTACCATTTTGTAATCAATTTTGGTGAAGTTATTTGATAAAAGTGATCTTCTTAATAGTATATATTAAAATTTGTCATATATGGACCTTGTTGGAGGTCTCTAAATTTTGAGTAATTTCCTACTGATCAAAAACATTTTTTAGGATGAGAAATTATAGGTTAGGGAAGCTATTATGCCTTTTTATAGAATCTTAAGATAGATGTGTATACGAAAGTAACTTAATCATTAAATTTTGGTTCCTATATAGTAATTGTGATTTGTTGAAAAATTGTGTGAATGTTTAAACTTTAGTGTTAGTTGAGTTTTGTTTGATGATGAAAATTTTTAAATTGTTTGAATTGGATAGTCTAGTCGATAGGTTGATATGAAAACTAAATTATGCATATTAATTAGTGAGTTTTCTTAATTTGAGTTTTGAATATAGTTTAGGTAAGTAGGGTAAATTTCTGTCTTTTCTTATTATAGTTTATGAAATTGATATGAGCAAATTGGAACATGCAAACTTTGAGTTAAGAAACTAAGATTGAATTGATTATGTAAAAGATGATGTTAGAGCAAATTATTATTTGGATTAATCAATTGAATTATTTACAATTTGTATTATTCAAATACTTTTGGAATTATCTTTGAAAATTGGTTTGACTCTGTTGTTGAGATTAATGTTTCTGATATTTTCATAACAAAGAATTTTCGTTTGAGAAAAATAAAATAGAAACTCAAATCTTACTTTTTCTTTTTCTATTTCTCAAGCAAAAAGATTCCTTGCTTAAACGAAAATATAGCTCAAAGTTAACATTGTTCTCAATCTTATTTTTACTTAAGAGAAATGTTTTCTTCTTATTTTTTTTATCAAACGAAAATAATATTGCAACTATAATGCTAGTTTTATCCAAAATTTTGCTCAAAATTTTTCTTTCTTGTTTTTGTAAATCTATGTTTTGGATTATATCACATGTTAATTTTTGGTACGATTTATAGAATAAGAATCTTCTGAAAGACGTAAGTCGATGTTTTGCTTGATAAACATATAAATTTTATTCTTTTTAGAGTAGGTGTGTTGATTTTAATTAAACCATTTTTTGTTATTTAATTACAATGTTTCTTTTATATATTTTTTCTTACGTAAATAACTATTCAAATTGTTTACTCTTTTATGTGTTTATTTCATTTTTGTGAACTGCAAAAATTGTATTATTTATACGAAGAGATATAAATACACGTGTAAGAAAAATGTCAGTAAACGAATATAGTTTTTATTTTATTTTTATATTTTTATATAAAAAAATATTTGTATTTTATATATTGTTTTAATGTATATTTAGGTTGTATCGGGTATTATGAAGAGTCTACAAGCCCTTTTATAAGTTTATTATATATTTAATATAGAATGTTATAATCTTAGTAAGTAAAACCTTATTTGTGTACATGCTTTGTTTGAATGAAGCTGCAAGAAAAAGTTTTTTTAACCTAAATTATAATCTTAACCCTTATTTTATTTTTTATATACGATTTTGGATTTTCTATTTTTTCTGTAATTTTAATATTGTAAAACTATTTTAATTCTAGTGTTATTTCCACCTTAAATATTAACATCTTATCACATGAAAAATATTATCTAATGTTTCATGTTTCAGGTCTCTTTCAGGTTTATAATGGCGCATACTCAACATTTACCTAATTCAAAACATTTCATATTATCAATTATTTCTAAATGATGTAGAATGTAAGGTCCTGAAAATTATGGGCTAGGAGGTCCTATTTTCTGAGGCAGCCAGGCCCAAAGGGCTAAAGGCACCATGACCTTAGGAGGGGTTTCCTCTTTTTCTCAACTCTGAACCTATTTCCAGTTTCCCTTTCTCTCTCTAAAACTCAGTTCCACTTCTCTTCTCCTTGCTCTGACTTCTCTCTACTTTTCCACCACTTTTCACCGTTTAAATTTCAAATAGGTGGTGTCCTTTCGCTCACGGAGTTGAGAGCTTCCATCCTATCCGATTAGATTTTCATTTGGACGGGTAAGTCAAATTCTCAACTTTCTGGATATTAGGGCATGTAACTTTACTGGTTGCATGGAGCTCATTTTGATTCTCTGTTTATTCGAGCTCTAAGAGCTATGTTGTATCACCAATTTGGTGATCTGTAGGTTCTGTCAAGTTCCGCTCTGTGTGGAGGATACTGTTAGGGCATTTTATTGAGCTGTACTGTTTGACTTCCAGGTAAGGGGAGCTAGCTAATTTTCTTCTCTGTGTTGTTGAAAGTATGATGTATATGTTGATAAATTAGTTTTATTGTTATCGTATTGTTAAGTGTATTTTGATGATGAGCATGTTGATTGAAATTTCTTGAATGTATGAAAGTGTGTATCTATGGTGTATTGAACCTTGTTTGACTGGGATGACTGTGTGTTGGCTATGCTGGATTTCTGGAGTGGAGTAAGAACTGTATAAAATAGTTAAATGGATAGTGAGGGGGTACAGGTACTGGTCTATCTTACTATGAATGGAATTTAGATAGGGAAATGGGGAAATTGGAGTCTCAAACACCCTAGGATAGTTTGAATGAATTAGATAAATCACATAGGACTTGTTTAGAGCACTGTGTTGGTAGGATAGAAGGATCTTAAAAACCTGAGTTGGCACATCCCTGATCATAGAGCAGCCCTGGCCTGGTCCAGTCAGTTGTGACTAGTCATATGTGTTGGCGTCGAAGGTGAGACTGATGCGTTCAGACATCTGATTCTTCTCCGGTGACCAATTGGGCAGTTGGGATAATTAGAGGAGTCAATGGAACTGGTGAGGGGTCAGAGAACTGAGTAAGTCTTGAGAAAATGGTTGAAATGAGATTTTGTCCACAAGTTACAGGAATTGATGTTTTCAAAGGTAAAACTGAATTTAATCAACGTAGATTAGTACTGGGGAGGAATTGAATCATCTAGACAAGGATAATTACACTTAATAATCGGATTTGAGGTCTTAGAAGTTAGCCAAGAGTTCTAGAATTGGTAAAGAGTATTGTAAGTGAGTAATTATGCAGAATTTGTATTCTGCCAATTATGCAGAGTCGCTATGCGAGTTATCTCGCATAGCGAGGTCCTTAGAGGGGAGCTCACTGTCTTGGAAATTCGCTGTGCGAGTTGGTTCGCTGTTCGAATTTCCAGAGGGTGATGCTCACTGTCTTGGACTCGCCATGGCGAATCCTTTCGTTATGCGACTGGTGGTGGTCTGTGATCACTGCCCATTTAATTCGAAGGGCGAGTGGGGCGCATGGCGAGCGCTTTGGGGAGGTTGGTCTCTGTCTGAGTTCTCGCATAGCGACCTGAGTACGCTATGCGAGAGGTTTGAGGTCTGATACATTATGCGACTTAATTCGCTATGCGAGACAATCCTAGTTCGCCTTGCGAATGGGATGCGCTGTGCGACTCTCGTTGGGTCAAGTTCTCATTTTAATATCTTTGCTTGGATCAATGGTTTGGAATGCATAATATGAGGTGATTGATGTGGAAAGTGTGTGAAAGCATGAGAATAATCATCATGTGATGTGTTGTTAAAGAAAAAGGATATGTGATTAATGGTATAGTAGTCGACGTAATTCCATGGTCTTCAAGGAGAAGATTCATGGTGGTGCAGTAGTGTTTAGAATGATCTACAGGGAAGCTCAGTATTGGGGGTTATCCTGACGCTCCAATGGCTAATCATACTCAAGTAGAGGGATTAATCCATGTGGTGAGGAGTAGCAGGAGGTCTTAGTCTTGGGGGCTTCCAGTATGCCTCAAGGCCCGGAACAGGCTATCCTCGTGAGTGTGGTAGGGTGGGGAACCCAAGTTTCATAAGCCACCACGAGTGCATGACCTGCCATAGCTCGGTAATCATTCTAAGTCCGAACGAGTCAGGTCTAGTTCATGACATGTTTCTTGATATGATTTAACTTCCTTTGCTTAAAGTATGTATTAGATGGATTGGTTAATTAATATAATATGCATTGTTTGAAAAACTAGCTCACCCTTGCTTGTTTGTGCACTTGTTGTATGTGTTTTCTTTTGCAATGATCATCCACTTGGATGTGAGCAGATGAAGAGGAGGTATCCGTGGAGCAAGTGTTGGAAGACGGCGAGGCTGCAGTTTAATATGCTTAGAGTTTTGATTAATAGACTGTTATGGAGAAAATTTCCAGTGGTCCTCTGTGTTTAAGGGACCAACTCTGATCTTATTTTTGGATAACTGTAACTCTTATAGTTTACCTGATGCCTCTAACTGCTTTCCAATATTATGACCGAATGACGTCCTTATTATATATGCCTACCGTATATTTTAGGATGTCACATTGAACTTTTAAATATTTGCATCAATTTTATATTTTAATTAATTAAATATTTTTATAATATCTTAAACGAGTAAAGTTCAATTAAAGAAATCAATAATATAAAATGCGTACAGAATAAATATTAGAGCAACATAATAAATTTTCTCAGTTATGCAAAATAAAATTGTAAATAGAATACTATATATAAGAACAAATAAAAGATTTATAAAGCTTAAGATTACGATTTAACCTTTTTTTCCTTCGTGTAATAAATACAAAATAGTTATCAATTATTTATATTATTAATTTTTAAGTTCATTTTTTCATATTTAAAATTTAAACACTGGAATTTTAGTTAATATATTTATTTAACTCTTACTTTTATTCATTTTAACATAAGGTTGATATTGTGCGTGCTAATTTAATTTCTGACTACAAGCTTATAATAAAGTTTTGTATGAATTAAAAAAATAGGGACTAAGAACATTTTATTCACAAATAAATTAATTTATTTAATTATAAATTCAAATAATGAAATTTTAAGATAAAAGGTTAAAAAAATAGTTTGGAAATAGAGTCAATTTAATTTACTAAGCTTTATTTTTTCCTCGAAAAATAATGTTTAAGTCCAAAATCCAAATAAGCTAAGAATGAAACAATTAGAAGGAAGAATATTAGTTTTTAATCCAAACTTTGCCAAAAATGAATGGACACATGTGAAGACTTTGTTAAAATAATAATATTAAATCAAAAGAATGTCATAATTTTTTATTGTTTTCTGTAAAAAATTGAAAAATCGAACTAAAATTCCCCAGCATCTTTTTTAATTATTAGTAGTTTAGCACACACAAAAATAAATTATTTTACATTTTCATGAGATCTGTATTAGAAGAATAATAAAGTCATAATAAATTCAGGCCAATTAAAAATGTATTTAAATTTAAATAGATCTAAAAAGAAAATATATTTTTTTCTTCCTACATCTCATATTAATACTAAAAATATTAACATACTTATTATTACAGAGTGCAGTTAGCAGTTAGTATTTAGTAGTTAAAAAAAACATACTCATTATTATGGAGTGCAGTTAGTAATTATGGGGTACCAAAAGAAAACTTTGAAAAAAATAACTCGGGAGGCCCAGAAAGCCCATACGTACATGAGATAGAAGGAAATTACTATAGAATCCTTCATGAGGATAACCATTTTATTGGCACACATTGGATATATATCAGTTGGCAACGGATATGAGTGATATAACATAGATTTTGTTTTTCCAAGGTTTGATGAAGAATCTCTCTGTTTCACACTTCACTCATTTGAGCTCCTTAAGGATCATGCCTCCTTTCACAAACTTGCATGGAATCTCCAAAACCTTAATTCCCCTGAAATGCCTTCCAAATGCACACGATACCATAAAAAGAGGACAAGTGGTTGGATTTCTTGGAAGCAAAACACAAGAGGAACCATCAGAATGTTCAGTTCAGACCACAAGAAGAACAGCAGCAATAGGGCTTACCACTCTAGTCCTCACATGGCCATTCCATGACAAGATTTCATCAGCCAAAGATAATGGTTTCTGGGTTGAAGATCACCCTCTTCCTCGATTAACCGTCGCAAACAGTAAGCTATCTTGTAACTAGTTTGGTTTATTTTGTTCATTTTACAGTGACTGTCTTAAAAATGATGTGAATGTTTGTTATTTGGTTAGATATTGCAAATGAGAAAACGGGGACACGTTCTTTTCTTAAAAGGGGACTGTTCATGCCAGATATTGGACTGAAAGGAAGTGTGCAAAGGATTAAGAGATATTCCTTTGATCTTCTAGCGATGGCAGATTTGGTACATGCAGACACACTCAACTATGTGAGGAAGTACCTAAGACTCAAGTCTACCATCATATACTATGATTTTGACAAGCTTATCTCTGCCACTCCAGTGGATGATGAAAAGCAGCAACTTACTGATATGGCTAACAAGTTGTTTGATAATTTTGAAAGGGTAAATACTCTCTCTTTCTCTTTCCTCCCTTCAAAATTACATGTTTTGTCAGTTAGTATTATGCTATAGGAAAATGACACTTGAACAACCATTTTTGACAACATTTAGACACGCGCACACGTGTCAAAATCTGAGTGGTCCATTTTCATTTAATTTTTCCAACTTGACCACTCAGATTTTGACACGTTTGTGCGTGTCTAAATGTTGTCAAAAATAGTTGTTCAAGTATCATTTTCCTATGCTATAATAGTGGCTGGACTAATTGTTGAAGCGCATTTGTGATTCAATGACAGCTTGAAGAAGCTTCAAGAAAGAAAAGTCTACCCGAAACAAAATCATGCTATCAGGAAACTGAAGTTTTGCTTAAAGATGTCATGGACCGGATGGATGTATTGTACGAAACAATTTAATCAAGCTGTTACTATTTCTCTTGTCAAAAATCAATTATACGTGTTTGATGTACAATACTGATTCCAAGAGATGGGGTGCTCTTCAAGAACATAGGAGGATGTTATGTCAGAAGAATTGCAAATGTATGATAGTGTCAACTACTATTATAGTGATTTCAATTATTGATGGATATGTATCACCACCCTGGCTATTATATGATGTATGTATTCCACTTTAGAAACATGCTAATGCTACCTTACAGCCAAATGCTTCTGAGTGAAAATCAATCCAACCATTCTTTTAAAAACAGAAAAGTACAGAAGCACGTGACTAGCTCCACAGTAGAGAACGTCATAACAATTTGGAGATTGAATTTAATGTCTGATGTATGAAACATTCTCAGGATAACAATGATTATTACTTTGATTCTAACACGTTTGACAAAAATAATTATTCCAAAAATGTCTGAGACTGACACATGTTTCATGATTAAAAAAGAAGAGTAACAAGAAATGGTGAATATAAAATCAAGCTGAATTGCAAAAAAAACTACCGCAATGAGAAATCTCTTTTTAGCTAAATGAATACTTAATAACTTGTTCACTATACATTACAATCTATAGACGTGATGTAATGTAACATCACTGATGTTAGAATTGGAGTTATTTTTGCTGTAGTAGCCATTACACAAATAGGTTAAACAATATATTCATTCATTCATTGATGTATGTAAAGATTAGAAATAGGTCAAGCGAGATTCTATAGGTCGTCCATTGGTGTGACGGCGTGGTGTTCCAATTTCACATGCATTAACTCTTGATGCAAATCGGAGTGAGCACAGTGACTCTCCTGCTGAAGCTTGGTCAGGAGAGATGTTGACAAACATCAATGTTTTTGAGTCTCCACCAAGACAAGGCTGTTCAACATTGTATCCAACACAACAAATCAGATCACCTCAAATGATTACAAGACAACAACAAAGAAGCATTCAATGCAGTAAAATTGTCAAAACTGCTGCATTGAAATTTTTGTTTATCAATCAACTGATTTCTGTCTAATATCCCAGCTACATGACATGATTTCTTTGGTTTCCTATAGTTGAAATATATTTTAGTTATGAAATAGTTTCTTACATAGAAATTACAATAAAGGGATTCTCACAATGTATACCATGGAAGTCCCTCATGAGATTGTGTTGAATTTAATGTACAGTATATAACTATGTACTACAGATTATTTTGAAGTATGAACAAAGAATAATCACCTGAAGTAGGTATGTTAGCTTTGAGTTTCTGAATGGGATATGATCCTCTTTCTTGGCCAAGGAAAATATGACATCACTTAATGATGACAGACTTTTATTTATTGCCTAATTACAATACAAAGAAAGTTTAGATTAATAGAAAGAAAATAAGTGATGCTATTTGAAATAGAAAACATCATGAGTTTACTTACTTGAGTTTCTTTCAATCGGTCCCCGGTTGACCCACTCCTCGAAAGACGCTCACTTCCAGCAAGATCAATGAGATTTAGAATGCCTTGTACTTGTTGATCAGTGCTCTAGAAATACAACATAGGTTGCAATGTGAAAACATGTTAGAATGTTACGGAGTTTATGAAATGGTTCAACTTTTATCAGAGGAGAAACAACCATACCTCATTCACACCATAGATTCGAAGAGTGAATACAAAATGACTTCTAGAAGATTGTTCATTCATCTGAGTTTTGCCCACAGATCTAAAAGAAAAACCAATACAGTTAAATTCAACATCCAAAGGCAAAGGATTTTAACTTCTAGGAGTAAATGTATCAAAGTATTTTGTTGCACTAGAACTATGTCATGTTATTTTTTCCAAAATTAGTAGCTCATTTCTCTTGATCCTATACTATGAATAACTGGGATATGCAATATAACATGGCCACAATAGCTACATTGAAAAAGGGCACTAGAAACCAATAAAAGAACATTATGAAGTAATTACCTGCTGTTAGCAGCTTGACTTAAAAGAAATGCAACCTCTTTTACACTTTGAACATCCACTACCGTTAGATCAGAAACATGTGTATTTCCATTGGCATCATGTTTGATGGAGTATTGCTTCCCAGGAGTACCATTTTCCACACGTGTTGGTGTTCCATCAGATGATGACTTATTTGTAGATAACAAATCACGAATGGTTTCATTGTATATTTCCAACATAGAGACCTGTCAAATTTTAAGAAGCATAAACCTTCTTAGACGTCAACATTGAAATTCATGATCCATTACATGAATAACTAAAAACTGTACTTTATATCACCTGCATTTCATATTTCCAGCCTTGGGGTTTCTGAGACTGTTTTGCTTGAAATATTTGTTCTAGTGAACGAGGGATCAAGCCCTTCTCTTCTGGATGTCCAGGCCTGCCCATCATTGTATAAGTTTTCCCTGATCCTGTCTGACCATAGGCAAAAATACAAACCTGGAAAAGAAAATGTCCATTATAACACATTATCAATCAAAACTCAAAAGTCTTTCTGATTATAGAACAAAAATAATAAAAAAGGCAGTTATGCCTTTTTAGCAGTTAATCTGACTAGCAATTACTCAATTGTTAGCAGTTATGCAATGCATATAATATGATTTGAAATAACATAGAAGGAATAAGAGACAAACTTTAAGAGATTACCTTATAACCATCAAGAGCACTCTGCACAAGCTGTGAAATTTCAATAAAAACTTCTTCTTGTAACGCATCAGGTGCAAAAACTTTATCAAATGTGAAAGAATGTTTTTGGCCTAAAATAGAAATAGCAATATATGTTACAACATTGTTAAATTATAGTATGTAATAAACATACATCAAATAGATAAAAGAGCAACTTCAAGTTCAGTATCATGAGACTTACCACTTTGTGTCAATTCGATGCCCCGTCCAGAAGCTTCCATCGACGTGGGATAAGATATAACCTTTCCTTCTGTGCTACAAGCCTCATCAGGTAACAAAGGCCGTACTCTACAGAACACACGGATGTTCCCTTTCAGTTCCTGTAAAATCAGAGATTAGTATGATGTGCATATTGTTTTATTTTTTTCCATCACCAATGAAATTTGGCTCAGGGAATTACCAAAATCGTATTGTGCAATTCTTTCCTCAGTTTCTCCCCTACTATAACTTTATATTCTGCATCTTCCAAACGCCTTTGCAACTCATGTACAAGCTTTTGTTGACCTTCAAATTTTGTTCTTGTCTCATTTGCAGATATGTCAGAAACCTAATAAGGAACAAAAATCCAATGTATCATATCACAAGTCCAATGGGACTTCATTTTCTTTTAACTTTATGCCTCATTCATTACCTGTAGTTTCTCCTCTGCAGTGGTGAGCTTCTCTTGCAGCACCTTTATCCGCTCATCTTGCAAAGCACATTTTGCCTGTGCAGGAAAATCATCACATTTCTACAATAACAACAATAGGATGTGACATTTACCAAAAAGAACAAGATTAAACCAACCTCCAATTCATTTGTTCTTATGGTCAAGTTGTTCAGTTCAGAGCAAGACTTCTCCGTAGAATCTTTCGACTTCTCTAATTCAGTAGTCAAAGTTTGCACTTGAGATAGTTGGCGGTCCCGCTCATCCCTCACTTGTTGCAGCTCAACACGAAGTGATCCAACTTCACTGGCCAAGGCATCCTTCTGTTTTGTGGCCTCTTCTTGAGAAGACTAGTAAACCAACCAATGAAACTATTTAAGATACTAGTTGCATGATAAGTAAAACAGGCTTCTGGAATTCCAAGGAAGGATAGTAATAACATATCCACATTTACGTACGTTAGAATACATAAATAAGAACATGCTGAAGAAAGATAAAACGCATATCACATCAACTCTTAAAACTCCACATCTTTTTCAATAAATTAAATCCAGTGAGAAAAAAGCTTTCAAATATTTATCAATCTCTAGTTCTTCACACTAAGGACTATTATGAGATCTTTCAGAGCACTCTGATAAACACACGTGCACACACACCTCAGCAGATATCCGTAAGATCATATGGTTCCTGCTTTGTGTCAATGTACAAATGAAAAACCACACAGCATCCGGTTTTGTATGCAAGGACTTCTGCGATGATTGAATGCATTTATGCCAGGTTCAAGGAGGGATATAGGGCCAGCTTGGATTACATTCAGATGAAATTGGCATTTATAAAATTCTCTCTTAACCGTTTAAGGTAATTGGTATGTGTGTCCAAATTAATTACCACCATAGATTTTTACATTGGAATATGTCACAGTGGAGGAATTGATTCCAGAGGTTTGTAAAACAGGCAACAAGAAAATTTGAGTTTACGACAAAATTAATTCGACTTTTACACAAACTGCCACTCTATATGGTCATTCAGCTGAGCAATCAGTTGAAAAGGTAAACCCCTTTTTTTCTGCGTTCTTTTACTTGAAAAGACTTTAGCAACGTAGTAATGTGTTAATGTTTTAGGAGGAAGAAATTCCCCCACAGAAAATCTACCAGTGAAGGCTAATTATCATTAGAAGAACCATAGAAATTTGTTTAACAGCAAACGTTTACCTAGAGAGTTTAGTTAAACTACAAACCATTCTAAACCAAACCAAAAATACACCTTATTCTTGTGTGAAGAGCTCAAGAACTCTACAAGAGTCATTCTAGCAAACCCAGAAATTAAGTTAAATAAGATCAACCCTCGTGAAATAGCAACATGAAAAAGGAAAGAAAAAGCACGGCCAGGAAGACATGTAGTTAAGTCATTAAAAACAAGGTTTTTCAAAAATCTATGGCATTCAATGCATCCTAGAATTGTCATTTTCATCTAAACATGGCCATTAGCAAAAAATCAAGAATAAATTAGTTATTGGATTCTTCCCAACCATCTCTACCAACAAAAAAATGCCCTTTACACATTCCAGTGCTCATTTTAAGAGAGTTGCAGACTTGTAGGTATCAACTATATTTCTCTCACACATGACTACTAGACTTTTAATTGAAACAGTTCACACTTCAGAGCAGCAGACTCACCATAGACAAAGTAAGCTGGCCCTTTAACATAGTAAGGTTCTCCACTACAGCAGATTTTTCTTTCTCCACGCGCTTAAGTTCAGTTTCAACTGTAGAAAGCTCTGAATGAAGTTTTCCATTATACTGCTGCAAGCTGGTTATGTAATCTTGTAACCGCTTATACATGTCATTAAGTGATGATATCTGTAGAAATTCATTAATACAGACATTTAGATATAAGAATAATTCCTGACACAGCTAACAGCATCAGATAAGAAGCATAAAAAATATTGAATCGAGACTGATATTATTTTACCTTCTGATTTGCTCTTTGGAGATCCCGTTGTGCTCTTCCAAGATCTTCCTCAAGTGTATTCTGTGACCTCTCAAAGTTAAGCCTGGCCTCTCTCTCCTTAACAAGAGATTCTGCTGCTGCCTAGAGTTTTCAAAGATAATAAGTATGAATTATTATCAAATATTAACCTTTACGTAGCATTTTGCTCCAAAAGATTCACCCATGAAATTCCACTGACTTGACTTGAAAATCTCACTTACTGTTTTTTCTGATTCTTCCTTCACTAATTTCTCCTGTAAAGAAGTGCAATTCCGTCTCATTTCAACAATAATTGAGTTTAGTTCATCTTCCTTGATTTTGAGTAACAACTCTGAAATTAAATGAATCTAACGGCATTAGTTCAGAAACTTGATAATGATTTTCCAAACAAGGAAAGGAGAATCAAACTCAACCTATCTCCATGCATCTTTGCTGAGCTAATTCCAATGAACTCTTCAATTTTTCTTGTTCTAGTGAGTAGCTAATCTCAAGGTCTTGGAACCACCTGATGCAAACCTTCAGCCTTTTTATGTAATCCATCATATTTTCACATCTTTCCTAAGAGCACAAAACCTGATGTTAACATAAGATAATGATAACTAACCAAGAAATAATTCAAGTAGCACTACTATATATAGAAGCATACACTAATTAAGGACCAAAACCTTGACACCCCTTGGATCTCAAACATAAATAGCCAAAACAAGCAACCTAGAAATAAAACAGATATCACACGAACTCAATGACCATCAAGCCACAGACTTCAACTAACCTTATAATTAAATCTGTCTTTCCTTTTGGCCTTTTCATTCAGCAGGGCCTCCACATCCTCCCTGGTGAACTCTATAACGCCATAATCTGAACCAGCATTGCTTGGTGGAGCACTACTGGGGCCAAGATCATGGCCACCATTTACAACACCATAAGCTGGCCTTGTTCTTCCGTTAATAGGTGTTCCCACCATCTCTTCTCTCTGCCCCAGCTCACTGGTCCTTGTCTATGAGGAGTTCATCACCCATAAACTGGGCAAAACACAACAAAAAGATAACTTTTTTAACCGTGACATTTCACTTGCACTGAGGATGTGTTAAGGGAAACAAACAAACAAACCCGTGACTGAAAAAGAGGTGCAAAAGGGGAAAACAAATCATGGGCATGAGAAAGAAAGTACCTTTGAACCTTGAAGAGGTTGAAGGAGTGAATGTGAATAATGGTTTACACCAGTTCTAGTTCATGGTCTCCATTTTGAAGCTCACCACTCCACAAACTGCAGTAAAAAGAAAAGAGAGAGAGAGAGAGAACTAGCGTTGTGGGGTCATGTCATGGATTGTGTTGAAAGCTAACAACAGATGAAAGGAAGTTGCTTTTGCAAGAAGAGATTGGTGATAATCCACACACACACACAAACACAAAAGAGCATAAAGAGAGAGAAGATAGAGAAATGGGGGTGGATCCTTAAAAAGAAGAAAAGAGGTGAAAAAGTGTAAATGGATTATTGTTCTTGTTGTGTTGGTAAGAGGACTTCCAATAGATTGTAGATCTGTGTTGTGTTGTGTTTGGTACTGTTTGTCAGTCCGGACTTAGTTTAGATTTTTACTGCCTCCCATTTTCAACTTTTTAAATCACCTCCTGCCCATCACGTGTAAGATTCGTTTTTCCATGCACTTCATTAACTACCCCAAGAAATTTAAATTTAAATATTTACTAAAGTTTATCTCTTTCACTGATTTTAAATAGTTTTATGTAACTTATTTTTTTCTACCATACCACCGCAACCGTTTTAAGTTTAATATTTACTTTCAAATATTTAACACAACTGCATATTATCTGTTAACTTGTAAGAATCTTATACAAACCACACGTATTGCCTTTGTTGTATTGTTATAATGAGGGTTAGACTGAAAATTATAAAATACCTGTTGATGAAGACTTCAACAAATTGAAAAGGATGTGTAATATTTGCATGAAAGTGATGGTTTGGTAGCACTTAAATTACCTTCAAGAATACGAAACGCATCCATTTACCTTAAATTCATATACAGTCTTTTACAAAACATATAGGTAAACCATATAAACCCTCTTGTTATTTTCATTTCATTATCTAAGAAAATGGCACTGGGTGAATTTTTTTCTGTACCTATAATTTTTTTCTCAGCATTTTAACTAAACTTGAAAAGCATAAATAATTTCTTGTATGTGTTTTTTTTTTCAGCACAGTAAAATGATTTGGAGAAAGAAACATTTTCTTGACAGTAAAATGTAAAATCAGAGAGATCCCAGAATTAATTTTATTCCCAAACTGCAGGAGCAACAGGCCTATAGACTAGTGACAAAAATAAATGAATAAAATCCATTTGAACAGTGTTTAAACCAATAAAAAATAAGGAATAGATTAATTACCATTATTAGTTCATTCCACTGCTGTAGCAGGATCCAACAGAACTTCATCCAAATCCTAATTAATTAAATATAATTTTTTGCAAACTTCTTCTTAGAGCACTAAAGAAATATTTGAGTTGCGTGAGAAGAGAGTTAAGAATTTTGAGTTTGATTTGCCAAAAGGGGTTAATAAGGCAGGAAAATCTGTGAAAGTGGCAAGTTATGAAAAAGGGAAACAGTGAAGAAGGTACAATAGATGATTCAACACAAGTAGTTGTTTGTTGGTGTTTCCATTCAGTTCTTGGTACTGAGCTGCATTCCTTGTCCTTTTCCTATGACCCCTCTTTTCTTTGAGGCTTCTTCTTCAACTATGCCTCTTGAATTGACTTATCCTCCTCTCTCTATGCACCAAAATAAAGTTTTGTCCTAAGCGTGTTGATTGCATTGCATTGCATTGCATTGCATTGCATTGCTACAATAATAATATAGTAGTGGACATCATTGTCCATGTTAAGTAGAATAAAGCTCAAAATTCTTTGTGTCACAATCTCACTCTAGATGTTCGGATCTTGCCCTTTCACATTGTCGGCAAAATTACAAGGGAATAATACATAAATCACACACCATTTCTTGCTCTTGCTTTGCATAAATTCTTATCAAGTATTGGTCTGTGTTACCAATAATCACAGTGTTAGTGTGTGTTTGTTGTAATGAATTCACAGAGACTATTTCAACCACAATTTAAAATCTTATACTTTTAGCTAAATATGAAAAAAAGAAGTGTAATTTTGCTTTGCTAGTTAAGCAATTTCGTGCTTGATTCTTAAGTATGTGGAAAGGTTAATTTCTGAAAGCTGATTAGCAAGTCTTTGTTTGAAGCTGGAAGGAATATGAGTTAGGTGTGATGAGTAATAACTGCATGATTGTTTAGTAAGTATTGAATATTTAATGCTCCATGGACTCGTTCATCTTCCAATAATTATTGACATTGTAATTATCATTTGGGTGTATTATACAAAGCTTTGGTCACAAACAAATTAATTACTACATATAACAAAGTGTATATTTACCTTAAAATGTGTTGGTTTATAAATGGCATGGCATCATTTTTTTTATGTGTGGCCTTTGACTTTCACATGATTGAGTACATTGAGTTTGATTATTCAGTTTAGCTTTTGGGGTTAATGTTAGTTTAACAATTCCAAGGTAGTAATGGGACAAATTACTAGACAAATTAAAACCTAAATCAACTCGTGTAGAGATTTTTAGTTGCACTTGTTGGCCTGCAGTAATCTGCACAGTGGCTTCTCCAAGTGTCATGAACTGAAGATTATACTCAAATCTAGCTAGTAATTTAGAATGAAAGTTGAACCTTGGTTGACCTAACTGAAGAACATGTCTAAATGTTTTGTTCTGTTTGATTTTGTTTGAATCCAGGTTTTTTTTGGTATTGTACTCTATTGAGGATTAAGAATACACTATGTTAGTAAACTAAATTTCTTTCTAATTTATTTTAAAACATTAAAATAAAGTTTATTATATGTAAAATTATTAAAAAATAGACTTTAAATCTAATTTAATTTTACAAAACTGATTTATAAAGTAAATTTATATTTATTTATATATTTTAAATTAATTTTATTTATAAAGTAAAATTTACATTTATTTATATATTCTAAATTAATGTTATTTTTAATAATAGTAAACATTAGACTTCTGACAAAAGTATTTCACTTTTTAAATTTTAAACTTAATCTTAAGTTTTCTCTTAGTTTATAGTTTAGCATGATAAGAAAATTTTAAAAGGGTAATGAAAGCATCAAATACAAAGAGACTTATAGTGTCATGATTGTCTTGCTCAATCATTTATGACTTTAGTTGCCTCAGTTCATAAATTCATTTCATTTTCTAAAAGTAAAAGACAAAATCTTATCATTTCATCCATGTTATTAAATTCTTATAGTTACCCCATTTAACTTTTTTTTTCCAATATTTTGTATATATAGAAAAGAAAAATTAAAGTTTTTTTTATAAATTATTGGTTGCAATGTTTAATAATGATTTCAATTACATTTTGTAATTTTGAAATATACAAACAACCGTTTTCACTATTCATAATAAACTAAATTTAGAGAGAGAGAAATGTGTTAAAAGATTAAACAAAAACAAGTTTGCAAACATAATCATAAACAAAAGAGTTCATTCATCACTCAAAAGCACTGAAAACCACAAAAACAAATGTAGAAAGAAACTACAAATTTGTCTTCATAGCTGGTTTAACATTTCAAAATTCAAAATTGATGACATTTACCCTGAAATTATCATTGGCTAATTAGTCTTAGAGGTTATTATAATAATTTCAAGCACTAATAACATGGGGATGTAGCTCAGATGGTAGAGCGCTCGCTTAGCATGCGAGAGGTACGGGGATCGATACCCCGCATCTCCATCTTTTGTTTTACTTTTTGAATATATTTGGTTTATTTTGGTGAAGAAAATAGTAACATTGCTTTTGCAAAGAGAATTCTACCTTTTGATTATTTTACACGAAACCGTTGAGTTGTCTCTGTCAGAGCGATTTCAAAAGCCGTTAATTGTGTGTTAGAAAGTTTAAAGCTTACACGAAACTGTATCCAATTAATGGCATTTACATGTTGGGCAAAAAATTGCCCATGGGACAGTTATATTTCATAAATCATACGCAACCAGGTTAATTTTGGGTCTCTTCACTCATAAGGTCGGAAGCATGGAACACGTCTCATATAAAGTTTTGACCTCATTTGCTATATTTTTCCCTTCTATTTCTTTGACCAATGCCCATGTAAGATATCCAATTTCACTCCCTTTTTAACGTTTTTGTGGGCTGTATTAGTGTCAGGTTTTAATTAATCTCCTCTTTTTAGGGTACATTTGTCCAAGTAACTACCCCTTTTCGTTACACACCACAATTACGTTGATGTGTGGTTCATCAATGTTCTTATATAAATACTTTAAACAGATTTACTTAGACTGGGTACAGCAAAACAAAAACAACAGTAATAGAAGAAATCCGCAAAAAATAGCTACGGAGAATTAAGGAAAAAAACACACAATGTTATCGTTAGTTACAAAATCAATATTACTCGCTTACGAAATTGTTAATAAAAAGGTCCTATTTATATAGAAATAACTGTTATATCTAATTTTCTTATATCACACTTAAATTAGTGAAGAAATCAAGTAGAGAAAATCTCTTATGACTGGCGAAGAAATTTATCATTTAATATAGAGGTGAAGATATGATGTCATTAGATGTTTAAAAGACAAACGAACTTGTCAAAACAGACTATATCTTGAACTATAAAACAATCTATAAGATCATACGTCCTACAAACCTTAACAAGATTTTTAATGAGTAAATTTTCAGATATGGAATGTGCTTTTCATATAACTTTTTGAAGTTGAGAATAGTATACTTTGTCGCAAAGTTATCTGGCTTTCATTAAGTCTGATGATTCTTTCAATTTCCATGTTGATTTATGCAATCCTTCGTCAAAGTCGTCATTATCATGCAATTTGTGAATGAGGTAAATTTGGAGGAGTAGTGCTTGTCATGGTGTTTTTGTATCTTGTTTTCTTTGTTGCCACATGCTTTGAGGGCACAATTTTCAATGCTTAATTGACCACCATAATGAATTATTGAACCCTGTTAAATGAGATGGAGCATGACACTGTTCAAGGTAAATCCATACAATATTGTACAACAACATTTCTTGTCTATTATATCATGTCAGTTAATACTAACAAAATAATGTTTCCTTTAAGTTGCAAGTGGATAAGTAAAAAACCGGGTGCCCCTGAAGACAATGCAAGAGATTTTTAGGAGTAGAAAACATACGTAACTTGTGGTGCCAAATCTTGTTGAATTTTCCCAGTGAAACAGCTGTCGGATTATAATGCCTTTAAATGTCATGAGGCTCTGGTTCAACCAACAATAAATTTTTTCAACCAACCCATTTACTCAAACGTGAATGTCTTTTGAAATATGCATGTACAATGGAGTTGTGATGGTTAATATATATGTTCATGGACTCAAGAATGATAATTGCTGCTTTTAGTACATTTTCCAGTCATCTGATAGCAGCCACAACTTGTGACCAATTTTGATATTAGCGCGTGAAAACTATAGTTATGA